AATGCTTTTTTAACTTTTTTTTTGCACAAATTTATTAAAATTAGAATAAATATTAAACTACATTTAAATATTCAAACGAAAATTGAATACATTGAAATAATTAAATATTTGCTATGATATTATAAATGTTAGATATGAAATAAATCGATGAATTACATTATATAACTGTATTACAAAATCATCATTTAAAGAAATGTGTATTTAATATTAAGATTGTTATGAAGAATTTTATTATTGTTATTATGAATAAATTTTAATGATATAATAAAAATCGAGTTCATTTTTTAGTGATATGCTAAGTACTTACCGAGCAATAGATTTTTCTAGGTACCTAGAATTAATGCATTAAAATTTATGAAAAATATGAATATTTTATAATATAAATTGAAGTTTTTTTAATGGTATCTCTTATGTATTGAAAATTTTAAAGTCTTATTTTTATTTCAATTATCATTTACAATTCTAATAGCTTTAAAAATTTTATTTACTGGAAATAATGCTGAAATTGTTATATACAAAGTAAAAACATAGTTTACCAGTAAATTTTTATAAAATCATATATTACTTTTACTTGAAAAGGTCTTCTTTCTAGTACGTAAATTAAATATTGTCATTAATAAAATAATGTGCTAAAATATATATGGAACTAATTCGTAGATATTATTAATATTGACACAAAGATTGTAATATTCATTAAAGCTAGAAAATTGTGTTTTATATGCCTCGAAAATTCCAGGGAGAAGATGAAAATATTTCATATGAAAAAAAGAGAACGAAAGTGACACGAGGTAAGAGATGCATCAGTTCTAAAAATAAATCTCACAAGCTAGGACAATTCGTTGTATATTCATAACCATTCAGATACAAAATACGTACACTGCTGGCTATTGTAGTGGGTGAACCGGATTTCGAAGCATCGATTCCTACTCGTCAGTTCTGAAAGACTTAATATTGCCCTTGATATCGTTTCGCATTTTTATAGTGGTATCCGAAATTATATGATAGGATGCGATTGCCAATTATTAGCTTTTGATTTAAAAAATTGCTTCTTATATCAATATTACAGAATTATTTATATACTGCTATTTTATTTTATAACCTGAATTCGTACTATAATTTATCAAATTCATTAGAATAATTTTCATTCAAAATATTAATATCCTAACTGTACTTAGCAATTTTGTAGATTGCAAACTTAATATACAGTGTATATTTCTATTCAATTTATTTTACTCAGTTTACGTCTAGTTAAATAAATAAATTAGTAAAATTTCAATTAAAATAAATTATAAATATTAAAATAATCTATAAATGTGAAAGAATAAAAATTATTTTAATAACAAAAACAGTAGAATATGATTGTAAACGTCAGTTCTACCTATTGAAACATAATTCGTAAGAATTGAAAATATATTAAAATACATATTATTATTATATGGCATGTACAATTTTAATATATTTATGTTAAGTAAAAGGTAAATTATATATATACAAGATTATAATAGTTTAACAGTTATAAAGATCAATTATCTCATTTAATCTTAATTTATAGAGATTTTTATTAATTTTAATTAACTATAAATTCATTTGCATGACACTAATCTTAATTAAATTTTTTACAAATTTTTAAATAAAATTATTTAACAATTAAAAAAATTAAGAAGCACAGAATAAGAGCATTAGTTACAGTATAAAAAGAAGTGGATGGAACAAAAAATGGAAGATAGTTTAATACTACAGAAAATGGTAAATTAAGAAATGTTATAAACGCAAATCGATAATGGTTACATGCGTATAGCTCATACGTGTAACACCAGTGTTTTAAAACAGGCACATGTTCCGCCTCTAACTGCTACTGATCTCCCACTTTTTTTTTATGCTTCGCCCCCACAATTATCGTCCTTTATCCTATCTCTCCTTTACTGTCTTACTTTATTAAAGTACGATCATTATGACAGGTTTCTTAACTGCTCGAGGTTTTATATTAATAAAGTAAGTAATTGTATTATTTCTTCTAATGTTGACACTGCTTTTATTTTATGTAAAACTAATATAACTAAAATGCTCATTTCCTTTTCTTTATATTTATAATAATCATTTTTATGTTAAAACATAAGAGATAATATTTGAAAACTCGTAGCTGATTTTATTAATTTCAAAGAAGACACGTATAGGAATTCAAATTTATTTAAATATAAAAAATTATTGGATATACAATTCAACATCAGTTTGTTTCATTAACTCAATTTATAAAAACATATTTAACGTTTAAATATTTTTTACAATATTCGTATCTTGTTATAAATTTATATCACTATTTTATTAAGGATTTTATAATGTATTTTCAATAAATAATAATTATTTATCAGAAGTTTATTAGCATGAAATAATAAAATATTAATTTATAAAAACACAATATTGCTACAAAAATGATCATAAGTGGATTTTTATTATCGAAAATAATATAGCTGTATTTCAAGATCAGAGCAAATATTATTTTTAATTTATATGGATATAAAACATAATTAATGCCCTTTTTTGTTCATGTATGATATAAACAAAAGTAATTTTACTCAAAACAATAAGCAACGAGTAATGAGTTATTAAATTTAGCAACCAAAATGCAGGTACAAATGTTGATATCATCTTATAGCACAATGTCATAGACATAAATTTATATTCAATTCAGTCATGACTTGGTGAATTGCTGACGGAAGGAAGTTAACCTAATTGGCATGCAAGCCTTGTCTATTAAATGGATGCAAAAAGGAACAAAGGGGAAGCACAAGAGTGAAAATAAACGAGAAACAGAAATAAAAAGGCAAAGGCACTAATAACTTGATCATTTTTAATTTGCGCAAAATATATACAATCGACTAATGTATTGAAAAAATAAATGAATAAATTTATCATACTTACTAGCATACTTTGATATTGGTATTTTATACAGCATTGTAAGGTCTATATATTTATACCACAAAATTTTCATTAAAGGCTATTATCATTATTATTATTATTATTATTATTATTATTATTATTATTATTATTATTATTATTCAAACATTTGATTATATCAATGCACTCTTAAAATTATTATTGCAACTAAAAAGTATTAAAATACACGTCCGTACTGCAATCATAATCATAATTTCATATGTTCTGAAAAAAGTACAAATTGTCAATATGATATAATAATAAAGGGAAAATTTTGTAAATATTATATGCCGAGGGTAAAGATACGAAATAGTAGATGTGAAATATAAAGACCTTCGTTAAACAAGTATTAAATTTTTGACATTTGCCTTATAAGTGACAGTATTACTTCGACGCTGCACGTAACAAATAAAACGGAACTTCCTCTCTTCCTTCCGCAGGCGATCGTGAGACGTATAGAAGAGAGTAATCAAAATTGTACGTCTTATTGCAACTAAAAAGTACATAGTACATATCAAAATTAAACATAACAATTGTAGAAACTTTATGTGCTTCTACTCTCTCTATCTATTTGTCACGATATATATATATATAAAAAAAATAAAGTATCTATATGTAATATCTTAAAATTCATTTGCTTTTGTTAATTTTTAATTTGTAGACATTTAATTTTTTAAAAAGACGGATATCTATTATTGTTTAGGAACATTATCTATATAAACTATAACAAAGATATTATTCATAAATAATAAGTGATATTATTTGATTTATTAATAAATAATATGGTATACTGGGGAACTTATTAAAATAAAACAAACCAATGTATCAAAATATGACTGAATTTCAAGTATTTATATACTATCATATCATATATTGTATAATAGTGTATTCATAGAATATTGACTATTCAAAACGATTCTCTTTCTCTCTCTTTTAATATTTTCTTCCCACATTGTATATTTTTATGATTACATCAGGAAATAGGTGTGTCTATTTATAAAGATGATGCAATTATAAATTACTTATACGTTGGTGCAAATAATCATAAATTCTATGTAAAAGATACGTGTACTTGCACAATCGATTCTACTTCAAAAAATTTGTTGCTGGATCTATATTACTAATTTTATTTTACATGAAACTTGAGATCGGGTCCAAATAACTTTGTGTTTTAAGCGTCGTACAAAATTTATCAATCATAACAATAATTTTTTACTTATAATTAATTGGAATACATATCATTAAACAAATAGTTTTAAATGTTATTGATAAGTGAAAAATGTTTTTTGATAAATTAATAGAGAATAAAAATATTTTTATAAATTTTATAGTACATCTATCCATATTAATAATAATTCTAACAACATGTACATATCGGTATAAATGTAATATACCGAAAAACTTGAACATAGTTATTTCTATTTAACAAGACGCCTTCAAATGTGTAATAATAATTACATTTTTATTTTAAAATTAATAAAATACTGTTACGGTACCGATAATACCGATAAAATTTATAAAATCAATGCTCCATCCATAAAATTATTAAAACCTATCATTTTTACATATTTTTAAAATTATCGCAAATATAATGTCAAGATCATATAACGTATATCGTCATACTCATTTTAAATACCGATGCATAGATTGGATTTAACTTAATCGAAACTGTTCGTTCAATCGTTCACTTTGCTTATTTCTAATTATAATGAATTCCTTTCTAACAATACTAAATCATTAACCAAATTTGTAATGAATTTTTGTAAATTAATACCGATTCGTGTTCGCAAATTTAGTTATCCAATAATTTATTTATATCGTATAAAATTTTACTTTTTGTATGTTTTGAAAAAAATTAATTAATAATCAAATTAAATAATCTCTGAATACAAATTTAGTCAGTATAAATAACTTGAAAATAAATTAAAACAGCATTTAATATCATTAATTGTAAATATACTCTCTAATTATTCGACTAAAAAGAATAATGTAAAAAATTGAATATAAATTTACAAATGATGTGTGTAAGAGTAATTTAAAAAATCAAGAAAGACTTGATAACTTACATTCTTTGTTGCGATCCATGGATTGCTGAAGGGGTGAGTCATCAACCTCTGCTTTCGGAGGCGATTGGTTGCCCTCTGCCATTTTCGATTCGGAAATAGTTGTCGCTATCTTTTTGAAAACAGCAACACCTGCCTTATCCTTTGGCAACTGAATCTTTGTTGATTTTTTATTACAATTCTCGATGTCCTGCGAAGGTTGGCTTCTGTTTCTAAAATAATAAAAATTTAACATAATTTCTTTTTGTGAAACTTCAATATTTATTTATTTATTCAGTTTTAGTATACTTAACTAGTCTATATAACAATAAACACTAGCTTTTATACATCTTATGTCAGAAGTATAAGAAAAAGAATTATATATATATTTCTATTATATCAAATATTAAATTAATTACAAATTAATTATCACTTTCTTCAATGAATTGTTACTTTAAATGTTAAATGTATAAATTAAAAAATATATTCTAAATAATGAAATTATTTGCAATTGCTTAGTTACTAAAAATATTAATTATATTCATATAATTATCAATATATGAATCATTTATTACGAAATTAATTTTTATTTCCTTGTAAAACTTGTATATTATTGGTTTAAATAAAATAATGAAATTTTAAAATAATGTAAAAAATAGTTTTTCCTTAATGACCCGCATTTTTACATTTTAACTGAATTGACTTAGTACATCATTTTATGGTTATTCTTGAGAATGATATTGTTATATAATCAACAAATATAAATTTTGAATAACAATTAAAATAAAAACAATTGTATATATCTGTGTGTGTGTGAACGCGCGCATGCGCATGCATGTGAGTGAATTGTCAATTTATTGTCACGTAATTGTCAATTTATCTTTTGTAGATTTAGTGATTTTGAGATATTGATAGTAGTATATATATATTAATACGAGCCATTAATGGTAACTGTGTAATTTTAATTATACTATTGATATTTTGAGATAATATTTTAATATATAAAAATATTATTATTGTGTGCATCTACATAATTTTAGTACAGTAATTTTTATCTTATTAAATAAAATTATTTAAATGTGTAAAAATATAAATATTTAATATTTATAATATGTTTTATGTAATTACTTATATTCTATTTTTAGTTACTTTTTAGTGTTATTATTAATTATATGAAAATAATTTAATACTTTAAAGATGTAAAACTCATTTGATAAAAATTCTAAAAATATTAAAAATTATAAGATATAAAAAATGTAAGAAATTTAGTATATGTAATTGTATTTATATTATATCTTCTCTATGCAACTCTAATGGCCTACTTTAATAATATTTTAACTTTAATATCATTAATGATATTTTGAATTTTGTTTATATTCGTATACCTATGAAAATTATCGCGGTGATCGATGGAAATGGTGATAAAAAACTATTATGGTAACCTTTAAATTAGAATTAATTATGTTGTTATTTTTGTTAGTCGATACTTTTTTATATTATGATCTTTAGGATTTTATAGTTATCACCGTGCACACCACATTTACATACATGCATAAGGAAAGAAAAAGAAAGATTTATTCCATCAAATAATATCTTATTAATGACAATAGTTTTAAATTATAGTTATAATATACAATTCATTTGAGCCAATGTTAGTAAAATTTTTCAGAAGTATTAGAATAGGAAAAAATTTGAATATTTTAATATTGAATATTATAATATTGATTATAATTACAATATTGATAATAATATCAATATTTAATATTTTATTGGAAATTTTAATTTAAAATGAAAGTGGCCTTTACTGAAAAGTTGAACTTATAGCTAAAGATGCCGGTAATGTTAGTTTATTAATAACTGAAGATAATTATTTATTTATATTTGTTAAGCAGTTATAATAGATTGAATATCTGCAATTGTAATAAACATTATGTATTTTTTAACTGCATGGATGTATGAAAATCAAAAGATAAAGAATAGATATAAATATCAATATCTCTGACCTATCCTCCTTATTATTGTGTTTATCTTTTCGACCTTTAAAGATACCCTCGATCTTTTTGAGTTTGGATCTTAATTTCGATTCGGATTTGACGGGCTTACGCGTGGCTGCATACAATTGGAGCTGAGGATCACTGGTTGAGTCTGCCGGGGCCGCAGTCGCACAGCTTCCAACGTTACAACGGTTATTACTTATATTATTACTGTTATTTCCGTTACTGTTGTTGTTGCTATTATTGTTGTCGCTGCTATTGTTGTTGTTCAAAGGTAGTGACGGGAGGGCATTCGATCCAGAAGTCGAGGTTCTGCTACTGGTATAATCCTGCGCAGAGGTGACCACAATGTTGGATATCATTGGTCCCAAAAATTGTACGTTGCATATAAGAGTTTACGTGAACATTAATAATGCGAAGTTTTTTTTATATTTATTGTCAATTTTTAAGGATTAAGGTAGGAGCCCTCACCTTGAACCACTCCGGATAAATAGCGCTAATAGTATCGAGAAGATCTTGATCCAATTCAATTTTCCAAAATGGAGAGCCGCTGTCCAACCTGTGGTCAGACTCTGGAAAATCGATAAATACAATATTATCAATTTGCTTTTAGAAATCACATTTATTGCGATTATTCTTTAATTTAACTTTAATAATGTGCAGTTATGTTTCTAATAATATTAACAATATTTACAAATAATTATTAGTATTATTATTTTGTAACAAAAGATTTTCTTTATAATAAAGAAAATTATTAATAATTAATATTACGTACTGGATTAACCTGTATTATTGTGTCGATAATATAATAAAAACTATTTGAATATTCGATAAATTTTAATATAAATTAATAAACTTTTAGCTTTGAATGTTTCGAAGACTAAATATTTCAGTATGTGATGATTAAGAAATTCTTCAGGAAGTCAACATTGAAATCGAATTTATAATAGCATCATTATAACTTGAACTCACGATTCTTTGCTACAAGCTATGAATGAGTAAATAAGATTGGAAACATAAGTTTCGAAATCATTTGTACATTGTTCTGTACAATCTATAGTAAAAAATCTCAAAACTTATACTGAAACTTATAATGATAGCACAAGGAAAAATTCGAAAATAATAAAGTCTGTAATTATATTAAGTTACATATAGTATAAAATATAAATTTGTAGATATTTTTAATTAATTGCATAAAAGAAGTTTTAAACTTCTTACAAAGAAATAGAAACAATTTTAGAAATATTATATATTCATTATATTTATCAGATTAAATTACAGATTAAATTATAACAAATACAATAAATTAGTGATCTATTTGGAAAAAAAATCAATACAGCTATTAATATCAATAACCATCAAGTATTTATTGGACTTCTATGAAAGTAATAATTCGGTAAGACAAAGAATACAAAAATTTATTGATAATTTTTTCCTGATTTATTTCTCGGCACGCAAACTGCAGTTCAGAAAAATGAAAGAACAAAGCAGACATGACATTATTTTTTTGAGTACACATTAAAAATCATTTATAAGATATATATATATATATATATATATATATATTACGAATTTCTTACCATGCTTTACTATGTAATGGAATTGTGGTATGTACATGATAATAAAGAACAAACAGCTTTTCAATCGATACTCAGGGAGCGCTGTTATTATAATCACTATAACCGCCCTCTTCCCTTGATTTTACTTTTTCTATCTGAATAGAAGTGCTAGTTTCTTCTCTCTTTTTTTCTTTTTTCTTCTTTATATACCGCAATACTCATCAGATTACATACATTAGAAAGAGTAGAATAGGTTAAAAATGAGAAATAAGAGAAAGAAAGATATCGAATGAGAGAGACAAAAGACAAGAAGATGAGAGAAACCGGTGGTCGATGGACCTTGTTACGACGACATTCTGCAGCTCGTCGATGAGACGCGTGCCTTGCCTTACAGATCGGAAATTGAACAAGGAAGGTCGACTACAGTGAAAAGGATGAAACTAGAAAGATGAGGAGAAAGAGAGAAGCTGGTTTCTTCGACATTCCCTCAGGACTTTCTGAGCTTGTGTTTTGCAAAAAATGGAAAGACTAAGGGTAAGGGATAGAGAAAACGATGCCCCAAACGTCTTTTTTCTTTTCTGTGGAGTCAGTAAACACGAATCACGCCGATAAAATCATCGCTTTTCTACTATATCAACAGCTCGCTTATTTCCTATTTGCTCTATTTGGTCCTTCCATATCGCTTATTTAAATTGCAATATGCTACTTCATATATACATATACGATCAGTCTTATATGGATGTAAATATATATTCTCTCCAGTAATTATATCACATTTTATAAGATTTCCAGGACCAGATATGCTGGTTATTCTTTTTCATTTTTATTGCCGAATCTCTATGGACGCTAACTTTCATCTTTCGATTGAGTAACTAATTTTTTTCTTTTTACCTACATTAAAATGTTAAAAACGGTATGTGATTAATCACTACAACAATCCATTGCAATTTAAATATATAAAATACGTAATGTGATTGAATAAATTTCTATAATACTTATTATGTCAAATTATGATCATTGCTTTATATTCACTGCTTTTTCAAATCACTTAATAAAACTTTCATTTTGCAAACTATTTTTTTTTATTTCACTTTTTATACTTCTTTCATTATCAATTCTATTAATTAATTTTCACAGACACACGCACACAGAGATATGCGTATATATATATATATATATATACGTATACTCCAATATGTTTTTTTCAGTTTTTTTCATCAAATGAAAAAGAAATTCGGTTATAATTTGTAAAAGCATTCTTCGTCTTGAACAAAATTTTAGATGTAGTCACTATGAATTTATAGTTCTTTATAATGGTATATGATTATTATATAATATAATACTCTATAATAATATAATATAATATATAATAATTTAATTATATATATAATAATTACTTTTTTTTATATATAATGTAAATATAATAAATATATAAAATATAATAATATACCTCTATATGATTATTATATAATATAATACTTTCTAATAACTTTATTTAAACTATTTTAAAATATTCGTTATCGTAACTGTAGTTTAAGTTATTCAGGAAAATTCGAAGCAGTTTATATATTTTATTTTAATTTACATATACTTTATATACAATTTGTACATTATAATAAGTATATTGAAATTAACTTGAAATTTACATTAAAAATCCAATGGCTTGTATATATAGTGCATTAACTGATAGTAGCTAAACAAAAAAATATTCATGGTAACATTATTATAGGCTTATATATATATATAAGGGACAAGCTAGAATAATGTACAGAAACTGTAAGAACTAATAGAATATGTAAATATATTTATTATTGAACGAGATAAATAATTATGTATAGAAAAATTTTAATGATTTCAATATTATTTTGGAGATGTTGGTGGGCGAATGGTTTAGATTTTGCATATAATTTATATTAATGAATTGTGACTTGTCAGCAGTGATTAAAAATTTTTTAAATTATTTATAATTTATTAAGAACAAGTTTCAGATGGCCTTAGCGATTTCTTTTCTTCGATACAAAAAAGTAAATAATTTCATACAATAAAATAAATATAATTATAATATATAACATTAGACATACTTGAAAATGAGTTCTATTATCTGTATAGTTCCTATTCTGGTAATTACAAAGAAAATTTAATTGTATTTTTATATTCAAAAAATATTTTTTCTGCAATAATTTTAAATTAATAAAATTAATATTTTAAAAATTTCATTTGAATAATTCTTATACATGATTATTTATATATGATATTTTGAAAAAATAATTCCGTTCATATGTGAGTTTTTTATAATTTTTTTAATGGAAAGTATTAGAAGAATTGAATTTTATACAAATAATAAACTAGTTATAAAGTCATTGAAAGCTCGATAAAAAATATTTCGAAGCACATGAATAACATTGGCACGTACAAAGAAAGAGGGAGAGAGAGAGAAAGGGAAAAGAGGGGGAGCAGGAAGAATACTAGGAGATCCAGTGTTTTACTAAGAGAATGTCTCTTTCAAGTAATCACATGCATTCAAAAACAAAAAAATTATGAAAATAGCGGAGATACAGTGTGCCGTTCATTAGTATCAGAGTCGGAGGTCAGCCCATGTCCTCTGTGTGCAGCCTTTTGGAGCAGATATAGTAAAGAGATCATTTATTATTTTCTATATTACGTATATATGGTTCTTAATGTTTCAAAGTAAATGTAAGTTTTTATACGAACAAGTAGTTAGTTACAGATTTTTATATTCATTTTACAAACAAATCATACCTTACGTATTTTAATAGTTCTTAATTATTATGTATAAAGCAATGCTTGGATCTTATCAATTATATAAGGTCCTACGTATTACTCAAACAAATCTATATGCATAGTTTTAACTGTGCTTTGTTTATACACAGTTTCAAATGATTTCAAACATACAAATTTATTTCTGACGTTTATAAAGATTGCTTACTCACTTTATTTATCTTCGCCAAGATAATATCTAATTTGCGGATTATTTCAGTGACGGTGACGAGAAAAAACTGGAAATTCAAATAAGAGGCTCAACTGAATGAAGAATGTATTTATAAATATTATCATCAAAGTCTCGCAAACCTGTTTTAGCGCCCCTACTAAAGCCGAACTCATGGATTCCGATATATCGAGTTTTTATTGAAGTACGAAACTTAACACCTCATTTGACTCAATCAATCAATTTTCATCTTCATCAAAGCTCGAGAGAAATTGTAAGAAACAACACCAATGGTCACTACTCCTGACAGAATTGAAGAATAGAAGTACCTTTAGGCAAAGGAAGTAACTTAGTGGTCAAAAGAATGATTACAAATAAAGAGTATGTGAGGAAGAGATAGACAGGGGGATTGTGAGGAGAGAGGGGGGATCTTAAAACACAGAAAAAAAGCGATGCATTGACACAACCAGGGAGAAAAAAAGGAACGTGACTGCGGGTAATTTCACGGTCTGTTTCTTTCTGAGTTGAAAGAAAAAGTTATGATGACACAAGATTATTAATTTAATAATTCCAAGAAATAAGGAAGTATCATCGGAAACTGTTTGCAAACTGTCGAATTTGAAAAAAAAGAAACTACATATTCAAGTTCAATACATACGGTGGTATTTTTTGAAGACAGAGTTACCTTTTTCGTCAATTTATTTTGAATAACAGCTTCTTTTGTACAAAATAGCATTGCTGAAATTTGGAATAAAGTTAAACTTAATCATAAACTCTACTTACAATTCACATCCATAAAAATTTATTGATATCAATACCTTTTCAACTTGCTGGATTCCGAAATTTGGTAGATACAAAAACTTGCTCAATTATCTATTACCTAGACATTATTAAATTGTCTTTAATCTATTGATTTATTTTTGTACAGCATTAATGCAAGTTTAAATGTAAAATAAATGAATTGAAGTTTTGAAAAATTATATTGGCCATATTTATATATGTGTGCATAAATATTACTCTTGTTTCATTGCTCTGATGAATTTTCAAAATTTAAAATGAATTAATT